GTTTTGGCGTTCGTGAATAAGAATGTTGACACAATTGAGAAACGTTTTTTTTCTTATTTTAGCCCAAATCTTTTGCCATTGACGGAAACAGATAGGAAACACTTCAAGATAAGAAACGCCTCGTCTCTCATAATAATCTTATTTAGAAGTTGATTCGTTTTTTTTTTTATTATTATTTCATATTCATCATCATTTAATTGCTGTCGTCGGTCGTGATAATATATTCACATATGACAAAACTTTAGTCCATAATTTAAAGAGAGTTGACTTTTTTGAAACGTATGATATACGAATATTAAAGTATTGAATCAATGGGAATGGAAAACCAATATTCTTTCAATGGAATATTAAGATTAGTGTGGCATTTAATAAAATGGAAGAATCGAAATATTCCATTTTGACTCATTAAAACGAATATTGTCGTCGTAATATTCACATTTTTTTTGCCCTCGCAACACAGGAAAAGATTTACCGCGTCTCTCCCTAATGCCAATTTCAATTATTTTATCACAAAGACAACAAGACCTTCCCTTGTTGGGAAAAATACCCAATATTTTTGTGAGAGTAAGATAAGAATTAGACGACTAGAATTTTAAGATAAATTATTTTATTATTAAAAAAGATTTAGTAGTACAAGAGAGTTCCAATTATGTGGTGTCTTGTTAGTTCTTTTCTTAGTTGATGTTCCAAACAGGTCCGGCCACGGCCTTTTGCAAAGATTGTTTTTGCAGAGTGTCCGGCCCACAAGCCATAAATTTCTGTAAAATTGCTAAAAATGATCATAAATTTCTGTCCGTTTTATAAAAATGTTTAAAATTTTTAAAACAATTTTTTTGACACAAGGTCCATAAACTCAATGGGCCAGGCCTGGTTCCAAATGCTACCAAGCACCCATATTATAGTAGTGGTGCTTTAGAGCATGTACATTGGGTGCTCTCAATAGTGTTCTTAAAATATAAAATTATTAAAATACACATTTTTTCTTCCTTTTACTCAACTTTATATCTTCTCTTTCATCCTTTTACTCAACTTTTATTAATTTTATATTTAAACACTCTCTTTTTATTTTGAGAACACTATCTAAAAGTACTACTTTAAGAACARTCTTTCTCRCATGCTCTCAACTTTTATTAATTTTATATTTAAACACARCKARTATCTCCWCTKTTTCCTCAAATTTTATTAATTTTATATTCAATACARCRCARAAAAACACTCTCTTTCTTCCTTTTACTCAAATTTTAATAATTTTATATTTTAAAAACACACTTGAGAACACCCCAATGTACATGCTCTTAAGTCCTAGATTATTCTAGAATTCTCTATACCTCTTATCTATTTATCCAGATAATCTTTATCTATTATTCATGATGATTCTAGAACTTCTTATTCTCTACAATATTCTCCACAATTCTAGAATCTTCTTCTCTTTTGAAATTATTATTTGGGCTAATGGAGGAAAATATCCAACAAATATTCATTTTTTGCCCTCAAATAAACCGTTTTATTACAAAACTAAGGGGGTGCTTGGTAAGTGTCTTTTAAATCTATAATTGTAGATTTTTGCTATAGAATTTTGGCTACAGAGATTTTGGTTGGAAATGGTATGACTGATACTTAAAATATTAATAAAAGTCTGTTTGGTAATGGAAACTGTATAAATTGTGACTGTTATTTTAATAATTGTTTGTAGATAATTTTTTTTTTTAAATGTTAGTTATGACATAAATCTGATAATAATGTATCTAATATATTTTTTTATATTTATTTATATTCATGTTTTGGTTTAATAACCAAAAGTTTCATCAAGCAGTGAAATAAATTGAAAAACATTTCGATGAAACTTCTCGAGTTTCCGAAATATTTCGATGAAACTCTCGAGTTTCCGAAAATTTCTCAATTAGAAACTCCTGATGGAGATATCCTAAAGATCGAAAATGGTTGGTGAAAAATTCTAAACCCGAAAACTCTCAATTTGTCGCGTCATGTCCTATTCATCATTCGTTACCAATGTTGCTATCCAATTGCGAGATTGACTACCGGAAACTAGGTCAATGTTGGTTTAGTCATTAAAATATTAGTTTATGAATGAAAATTTGAATTTTTAGTCATTCATGTATAAATTAGGGGAAAATTGCATTTTTAACCCTGAAAGTTAGATATACTAGCACTTTAAACCCTGATGGAGTTTCACTAGCACTCTAAACCTCCAAACTCAGAACACTAACAGTTTAAACTTTTAAAGTAGCTCTCGTGTTTGCGCCGACCAAAAAAGAGCCGGAACAGTTAACTTCGTGACGGAGCAGTGACGGAACAGTAAACGACTGTTATGTAATTAACACGTGCGTCGTTCATTTAATTTTAAATTAGAAAACATGTTTTTTTTTTATAAAATCAGAAATTAAAAATAAATAGTTTTTATTTATAGACCCCTAAATTGATTTGGGGATCTAAGTTTCTCATTCTCACAAACAAACGAAACACAGTTT